AACGAATTCGATACTACAGTTTACTCTGGATGAGAATACCTTGTGGGTAGCAAGGTTCAACTAATCACTTCATGGCCTTAAGCAAAATAGAATGGATACAGTTCTTGTTTCAGATCTACTGTTAGTCTCGAGAACCAACTTAAGACACGAAAAAAAAATTTATTCATTTACATTAGTATAGCATAACTTACAAGCTATTTAGTAAAGTAGATGTCGTATAAAAACCAAAACTAATTACGAATTTACGAATTATTGCAAAAGATAAAAAAAGTAAATATAAACATCAAACCTTCTGATCAGCAACAGCTTCACAGTTGGTTCGTCTTCCCATCTCGAAAGCATAATAGCGAGCCTGAAGATGCGTAGGATCAAGTACGGCCCAAGGATTCAAGTCTGAGCCAGACATTAATATGGCTCTGCTAAATAGATCTAATACAATGGAGGGATTCAAATGAATAAAAGTTAATTAGATGAGCAAATAATGTGATAATATTCCAATGTTCGCGTTGATAAAGGAGAAAGCCCATTGCACTTTCATAGTTGATGGAGAATATTTGTTATCCTTCTGTAGGTCAATTGCGAAACTATAAAGACATGACTCAGATTAATGACGAAAGAAACAGAGGAATTTTAACTTTGGCAAATACAAAAAGTTACAAAACTCTGGAAGGAACTATGCAAAACCTTGCTAAATTCATTGACAACCTGTGGTCTACTTATTCCATTGGGGAAAAATTAATTATCAATTTTACAAAGGCGATTATATTTTCTGTTTGGGAATGCAATTTTGCATGCTAGCAAATCGCCTACTTTAATAATAAGAGCATGAAAAACTAGGCTAGAAAAAATAAATATCGACATGTTTTTTATATCATACCATATTATGGGCAAGCGCGTTGAAATAAAGTAATAAGAGAGCTTGAAATGAAATAAAACAACTTAGCAAAGATTTAGCTTACATAAATAAACACAAATAGCCAACTTATTAAAAATTGGCTGGTATAAAATGGGGCATCTGTTGGGCAAGGAAAAAGTTCTGAGATAGGTCCACATGCAACTATATGAGTTTTAAGCCGAATTCATGAATAACTGGTACTAAAGAGGTTTGACATTGGAAACTTTTAGATCGAAAAAATCCGCTTTTATGGCAACGAAAAGTTAGTAAGAGCTTGTTTTAAGCCTTCAGATCATCTACTTCTTTGCTTAAACATCATTGCCGCCTCGTGAATCTTATTTCTTCTAACCGGATTGAGTGGTATTTATGCCCAATTCTGCGTCTGCAAACCACGCTCTCTGATTAGATTGGTTCTGCTTTATTGATATTATTTAATGATGCATTGGATATAGCAAGCTGAGCATAACGTCGCCTACAACATCGGATGTGGAATTTTATAATGAAGAATTGAACAAATTGACTCGGACATTCCCATGCGAAGTAATACAAAGAAATATGTAATTCTTGAAAAGCCTGTCAGAATGGGGACTACGAAAAAAAATTAAGGACGCAAAAAGATTCACAAAAGTAGATATGCCTATCTTTCTGCGAAATAACGCATAAACTACAACCAATACCAAAGAAACGAAATATTTGAAAAAAACAACACTGCTCACAAGTTCAACGATGCAACATAAAAGTGTGGACCAATTGGAGTTTACGGCATAGCAACCGGCGCCTGCAAACAGAAATATATTGGCGAAACAGGGAGAAAAATTAGTACACAAATCAAGAAACATCAAAGGCTCTGCAGGAAAATGGATACAGAAAGATCAGAACTAGCCGAACACATCGCAATGAGAAATGGGGAGGAACTTTCAAAAATCAAACAAAGACGTTCTTTGTGAATGAAGTCTGTTCAAAGAAACCAGTAAAACTTTAGAAGTTTGGCAATCAGAGAAGTAGACAGACAGATAAGCTCCGCCGTCACAGAAATTCGGCATTATGGTCAAAATATACAAGAAATCCACTCGGTATGTGACTAAGACCGAGGTATGAGTAACCACAGTTTGCTCAGATAACACGGATGTAACCAAGGAGACGTTTCGTGAAGGCAGTGCGTAATATCTGCAAGCATCAGAATCAGAGACTAGGCGCTCTATTCGGCGAGGCGGCAGTGTACGTGCTTCTAAGGGGTTAAGAAATAGCGCGTAGAGTAAAATGTACACTGGGACTGGAATATAGCGAAATCGGTCAGCCAGAAGGATAAGAAACAGATCTACGAGATCATGATGGAGGTCCGGATATGAGGCTTGAGTTGGATCATCTAATCGAGAGTGAAGAAGGTCAAGGCACATACTAAACTTGCCCAAAAGAGCACAC